AAAATTGTCGAAGGGACATTTTGAGCCAATGAAGACCGATCCAAGGATAGTCAGGGATCAGTTCGCCACTGTCATATTAGTGGATCGCAGGTAATTCCGCTTGACCACGAAATGAATCGACGAATGGCCCCGAACCTATACCAAACGATCGTGCCCATCGAAACTAGCGGTCGATCCTTGCAATTAAGTGATAACCGAAGTCGTCTCGACTCGAGTAAACTTGTACGTGGCATGATTCAGTATCGGCCACGGGTCAAATGTGCGAATTTCCCCAAAAGCCACCCGTTAGTTTGAGATTTGCTCAAGTTGCGTTATGTAAAATTTAGTCATTAAATTAGAGACCGAGTTGGGCATTGGAAATTTAGAAAGTCACGACAGGGCATTTGGACGATGTTGTCATTTGCTTGGGTAACCTCGGATTTGCCCGAATCGTTCAGAAAAATTGAATTTTGGCGAGAAATGGAAAATGACCATTTTACCCCCGAAGGTTTGTTAAGGCAAAGTGTATTTGGGGAAGGGCATTTTGGTCATTTCGCCCTAGCCTTAGAAATAGAGATTTTTGGACAATTTTACCCTTGGACTTTTTGTGAAATCCCCAAATTGCCCTTGGATATTTTGGAAAAGATTCGATCCGGACCGTTGATCTCAAGATAAGATCGAATCTAGGCCATTGATTTGGATCGTGAGAGAGGGGCATGATGGTCATTTGGCACCGCAATTATTGACCTTGAATTATTTAAGCCAAATTTCTTTCTCTCTCTTCACTTTCTCTCTCTCCCTCTTGGCATTCTCTCTCCCTCTCCCTCCCGGCCGAGCCTCCCTCACCCCGCCGTGACCGTGGCCAACCACCTAGGCAGCCGTCACCGCCGCTTCCCAGTCGAACCGGATCGCCGCCGTCCGCCCTTGGACCCGCGACCGCGCCACCACCACGCCTCACCATCTCTCTCTCATGTTCTGCCTCACCGAACACCACCAGCCAGCCCTCCCCCAGCTGTCCTGTTCAGCTGTGGGAAGCCAGCAGACCGCCAGCCACCGCCGCTCGCCGTACACCGCCACCGAGCCGCTTGCCGCTCTCCGTACGCCGCCGTGAGGCCACCGGCTGCCGTCCCCCTTTCTACTCTAGCCGAGCTAGCCTAGAGTTCGTTTAAGTCGCCCCCTAAACCCTATTTAGGATGTCGGGTATCGATAGACGCGATTAGGGGTTAAATCGGGTTAATTAAAGGCCGTTTAGGGGTTATTTAGGGGCTGTTTAGGGGTTAATTTAATGGACTGATTTGGGGGACTTGAATTGGTTGAGTTGTGGGTGAATTTGTGAAGTTTCGGGACTGAATTGATGCTGGAGTGAATGCTGGAAATTGGGACTCGTATTGACGAGCATATGGTTCGATTTAAGGGCAAATTATGTTGGTTTGACGTGTTGTGATGTGGCTGGTTGGTAGGGCTTGATATGGCTTGAATTGAGCATGGAAATGTTGAATTTGCGCCTATGAATGTGGCTGTGATTGTGGACCCGTTGGTGGCCTTGTATGTTTGTTGAGTGGTGAATTGATTGATTTTAATGTGAACCGTTATGTGCACGCAAGGGCTGAATTGAATGGTTTGTGAATTGGCCATGTTTGAGTGTTTATTAAGCATGAGAAACATGTATGGTTTGGTGCGTGCACGGGCCAAGTGTGATTAGCTAGTACATTGGCATGTCGGTGTCGAGCAAGTGATTGAGTGAGGAATCGTGTGGTGATGTTGTATGTGTGGTGATAAAAATCCCTGAGGCGGTACCATTACGCGGGGAAATGATCCGTCCTGAGGCGATACGACTACATGGGACGATGCCCGGTATTACCAGAGGACGGCCAACCTAAGGCGGTACCATTACGCGGGTTGTGTCATAGGTGGTGGGTGTTGAGCCTGAGGCGGTACCATTACGTGGGCAAGATACACGGCCTGAGACGGTACCACTACGCGGGCCCCGAAGTGTTGTGATTATGAGTTGGTCACAGTGAACCTGAGGTGGTACCATTACGCGGGTCACTGGCGAGATGAGTGGAAAGTATGAGTTAGTCACAATGAGCCTAAGGCGGTACCATTACGCGGGTCGCTGGCGAGTTGGGTGAAAAGAATGTGATGAGGCAGGAACGAATGCATGAAATGTAATTAGAATGTGTATGTGGTTGGAAATTGTACTATTATGGCTAACGTGTAGGTTGCACATAGGAAAGGCCCAGGTGAGTATGAATTGTGTGCCTACTATGTGATGGCTAAGTGTGGTTGTATTTGTGATTGTTTGGAGGTACGTGATAGCCTAGGTGGGGTTTAGGGTGTGTACTTATTGAGATGTGATCTCATGGTTGTTTCAACCAACAATTTCAAAACCCCGGTCGGAGCCATGAATCTCCTACCGCCGCAACCTGAGCGTTTTGGAGGACCGATGCACACCGACCACAATTTTATAGAGTACCCTATAGATGATAACATGACCTGGGTTAAGCATACCACGGTAGTTTGGGTAGATATAGGACTACCCCTCTGGTAAGCCCACACGTACACTGCCTGGATGTTCAGAGATGGGGTGGATGAGTTTGGCCCCGTCCGTGGCTTCGACGTCCCCTTTGATGGAGTTGGGGATTGGGATCCATCATCTATTCCCCTTCCTGATGGCGAGATGACTAGTTTGGAGACTAGTCTAGCGCAGTCCGGACTTCAGCCTGCGCCTGCAGCACATGAGCCTTCTGGGGCCGAGCATGAACCGGAGCCGGAAGAATCCCAGGCGGGGTATGATCCGATGGACGTGGATCTCGAGGTCATACCAGAGGAAGAACCAGAAGAAGAAGAACCTGAGGCAGAACCTGAAGAAGCCCCAGAAGATGAGCCTGAAGAAGAACCGGAGGACGCACCCGAGTACGAGCCAGAGTATGAGCCCATGTACGATCCCGAGTTTGTGCCAGAGGACGAGTCAGACGAGGAGCCAGAGGAGGAGGAACGGGTCGAGGTTCCAGCGGAGTCGGGTGATATAAATAACCCGATTGAGATCGAGGCCGAGCCGGAGTCCTCAGAGGAGAAGACGGTTCAGGGGGATTCAGATTCGAGTGCCGAGGAGTCGAACTCAGAGTGGACGCCGTCTCGTGGACGTAGGGGCTAGTATAGGGGTTGGGAGTAGGCTTTTTGAAGTGTACCATTTTTGGTGATAGGGTACCCAGGCTATCGATCCTTTTTGACATCGGTGGTATATAGTGTAGAAGTTCGGTGTGCTTGTATATATAGTGGTTTTGTAAATTGTGGATATCATATAAGTTTGAATCGGTAATGGATGTGTTTATCTCCCCTTTTTACCCCAGTTGTTGTTGTCCGGGTATTTGTGGCTTTCGCTGATTGATACAAATCTCTGATAAGTTTAATTGGGTCGGCGATATCCTGGGACGTCGTGTTATTCGACCAAAGCAGTGTGTCGCGTGCTCGATGGGGTTCGGGGCGTGACAATATATATATATATATATATATATATAGCAATAATTTGATTCAAAAGAGGAAACCTACACCAATTAGGAAACTTTCCTTTTTCGGACCCCTGTGCTGTCTAGTCGCTAGGAAGTATGAACCACGTCCCAACACACCCCAGAGAAAGCCTAACAGAGATGGAGCACTTAAAGGTATAGAGTTTTAACAAACACCGAAAAGCCAACTAGTTTTGAAAGTGAAGAAATGTGTAGTCTGGTGGGTCAGTTGACGAACGCTTCCTATCCTCACAGCTCTCTCTTCTCCTGAAGAGTTTTCTCTCCTATCCCCTTGGTGATAGGTTTTCCCCAAAACCGACATTCCAGTAAACTTTTTCTCCAAGCCACCCGGTAGCTGAAGTTGTGTTCGATTGGAAGGATGTCTGCTTGAGAGGCTGCAGGGGGAGCACGCATTACTCTTCTCGGCCTGCCTGTGGGGTTGTAGCTTTAACACCAGGCACGGCCCTTTCCTGTCCTGGGAAAAAGGAGCGACTGGCCTTGGTTCCTGCATAACAAAGAGGTAACAATTAGAGCTCAGTAAGTCAGAGTTATAGAGTGTCCACAATCAGTTTAGTCTTAGCCTTGCATTATAAGAACGGTGGAAAGTATGGAAGGGGATTATGATGGCGAGGCTCACTTGGCTGCCCCATGTAAAAGGCTAGGCAACATATGGTCTAAAAGTGAGGACGCGGTGGTTGAAGATGAAATACCAGCTGAGAAAAACAAAAGGATTGTGAACTAACGATCGGGAAAAGTGCCAAAAAAATCCTAAACCTTTTGCACTGGTGCCATTTTAGTCCTAAACCGTTTTTTTGGTGTCAATTCAGTGCTAAACCTTTTGTATTTGTGCCAATTTAGTCTTAAACATTTTTTTGGTGCCAATTGAGTCCTAAACCGTTTGCATTTGTGCCAATTCAGTCCTAAACCTTTTGTCTTTGTGCCAATTCAGTCCTTTCGGTCAATTTTGGCCGGATTTTGCTGATGTGGGCGCCGACCGGCCGGCGGCCGGTCACCAGTGTTGACGTGGATAACTTTAATAATATTTTCATATTTTTCTGAATTTTTTTGAATTTTTTTATTTTTATTTTTGTATCGTATACAAGAATAAATGAACAAAAGATAGTTTTATAGTTCATAAAAATGTTTAGATATAAATTATTGATGATAATGAAATTATTTTTCATTAACTAATTATTTCAAACGATACGAGCAATTGGTTTTAGGAAAATGTTTTTCAAATTATTTATTTTCTGTGAAATAAACTGAGCTACTGTCTTTACAAGTATTAGCATGTTGGGGAGTAATGAACGTAGATTTCGTTTTTGCTCCCTTTGACCGCATGTAAATTGTCAATTTGTACATGCAAGTACTTACTATAGATTTCTTTATGCTCTTGAAACACGTATCGTTGCGCAAGCTCTCAACCTTTTAGACTTTTAATGTTCCTTGGTTCTTATCAGGTCCTGTATTCCAAACCAATACTAGATATCATTTACAAAGCAATTAGAAGTATAAATTAAAAGTCAATCCAATTAGAAATAGCTAGCTGCTTTATTACAAAGCAAAAAAGAAACCACCACATTACTACCAGTTTATTAGCGACTACAAGCACACTCATCAAACAATTCATGTAAAACTAAATAGTACTTCTGGACACAACATACGCGAAATATCCTTGAGAAGCAAATGAAATCATGCCATGAACAGATGTCCCTGTGCTTCATCGAGGATAGACTTCTGTAATCGTCACTCCGTTGATCGATGGAGGCATGGATCCTCTTGTAAGTTGATCATGCCCCTGGGCTTTCCCTATGATGTTAATCGGCAGTTCTGTTTGGCTTCAGAAGAAAAAGACCGGTCCTTGTGGCAACGGCAGACTAAGAGTTTGGCTGCTTAGTGCGAGAACAATGTTCGCCGTGGTCGGTCTATTAGCCGGATCTTCCTGAACACATAATAAGCCGATATGTATGCATCTGAGCACTTCGCTTTTAGAATAAGATTCCAATGCCGGATCCAATATTTCCAAAGGCGCATTGTCTCTCCAATGTTTCCAAACCTAGAGCATGTCAATTGTACACAACAAGTGAACCATGGAACGATTTTGTTTATTGAGAGCCAAAAGAACAATCAAATCATATAAAAAACTTACATAGCTCGCAAGATCCTCGCCTCCATCAGATTGGTAGTAGTAGTTATTCCTCTTGCTGCGTATGATCTCGAGGAGGAGGATGCCAAAGCTGTAAACATCAGACTTTTGAGAGAATTGCCCGTGCATCGCATATTTCGGGGACATGAAACCTCTGAAAACCACCACCAAAGCCATACAGTTAAAGTAACTTTATCTGTACTAATCCCTTTTCAATTCTTAACAAGAAGCTACCTAACGGTGAACTTCGAAGAATGCAAAACTTACTAGGTTCCTACGATTCTTCTAGTGCTTGCGTTAGTTTGATCAACTCCAAAAATCCTCGCCATGCCAAAATCCGAAATCTTTGGGTTCATATCGTTGTCCAGCAAGACGTTGCTAGCCTTTAGATCTCGGTGAATGACTTGAAGCCGAGAATCTTCATGAAGATAGAGCATTCCTCGAGCGATGCTCGATATTATCTTGTAACGTCTTGGCCAGTGCAATTGTTTGCTTTTCTCAGGGTCTATTAAGCAATTTAAGGATGTGAACGAGAGTAAGTATCATCTAGGAAGCCTAGTACTTCGATTCAAAATGTTATATACGATCCAATAAACGAGCATATGATTATTCACTCATACATTAACCTAAGAGACGAACTTAAAGCAAGTGAAGTGGAACAAACCGAACACAAAGTAGTCGAGACTTTTGTTGGGCACAAACTCATATACGAGTAGCTTTTCCCCTCCTTCCAAGCAAAATCCGAGCAATCTCACTAGATTTCGGTGTTGAAGCTTCGCCACCAACACAATCTCGTTCTTAAATTCTTCGACACCTTGCCCTGAGCTTTGAGAAAGCTTCTTCATAGCTATTTCTTGTCCATTGGGAAGCCTACCCTGAAAAATTAGTGAAAGGTGACAAGATCTCATGAATTCTTGATTTTAGGATAATGATTTTCTGAACTTTTAAACAATATGCAACGTTATCTATTGAACCATATTTTGATTTCAACTGGGTCACCAAAGATTTTAAATTGTTCGCTATGTTGTTATGCTTCTTTAACATCCACACACAAGTCATTCTCGTGGCTAGAGAGACGAAATTAGAAACTTTAGACTTCTTCAGAAAAAGAGGATGATATAGCCCATTTAACGTCCATTTCGATTTAAGTGAGCTGAAACTTCATGACATGAGATTGATTCCATAATGGTTAAGTTGTCAGTGTACATAAGTAAGACCAAACCGAGCATCAAGCGACTTCTGAAAGTATTTTATGCCGTTTACAATCACTAATGTACCTGATACACCTCCCCGAATCCACCTTTGCCAAGTTTGATTTCTTGAGAAAAGTTGTCCGTCGCTGCAAGTAAAATATCCCAATCGAATTGCAAGGACTTCAAGGATGCGATCTTGCTTACACCTTCATGAGTGAAACAACAAAGCCGCTTAGACTTGTACTTGTTTTTCCATGTCTTAAGGTCATACCTTCACAATCTTTATTTTCTCGATTAAAAGTTCCAATCTTTTGCTTTTTCTTTTCTTTTTTTTTGGGGAGGGGGGGGGGGGGGGGCGGGTGGGGGGTGGGGGAGACGAGGCGCGGGGTGGGGCGTCCGAAGGCAACAACAACTGATGAAGAGAAGCACAACAAAAACGGCGGCCGCAACGATGATTGCAGCCAAGGTACCAGATCAGATAATTGTTTTTCTCAGCATATCTAAAATCATCAGTCAATTGCAATCCTAAAAGAGTGAACTGCCAGGATGCCTATGGGAATCATTACAATCTCCAAAGCGTTGATTACGAGTAAAAGAACAAAAATAGTTTATGGAAAACTTCAAACTTGCCTTAAATGGCTTGTTAACAAGTTCCTTGAAGGCATTCTTTAACAAAATCTAATTAAATTGAAGAAGGTTTCCATGTACTTTTGAAACTCGTACTTAAAATTTCATTTGGGTTCTCATACCTCTACCCTTGCAATGCACAAATTGCATGAATTAGCACATAAAGTAGGATGATTCTATTATTCTGCATAAAAAAGAATTTTTCCTCCATGCTGGTAAATTTCTAAAAGAGTTGTAAGTATAAAAAAAGTGTTGGTACAAAAATAAATTGTCAATCACTAGATCTTTCATTGACTTGTTAGTAACTTATTGACATTTTTTATGAAATTACCAATTATTTTTCACATTTTACGAATGATCAATTGTTCTTACAATCTTAATTACTGTTAATTTTCGTTATTATAAATGCATTAAACTCACCTGCTACTGGTTGGGGGGAAAAATAATATCACAAATGTCATAACTTTCGTATGGCAATCATAACTTTTTTTTCGATCACTTGAGTGTCATATCTGTGCTCACTTGAATGAAATAACTTTTGTTTTCGATCCTTTGAGTGTCGTATAACTTTTCAATCGATTTCTTAAGTGCCATTACTTTCTAAAAATGTCCACCATAAGTCATATGTCAAGTTGGATTTCCGACACTTAGATGAACGTTTTTAAAAAGTTATGAAACTCAAGTGATGAATTGAAAATTATTATAGTCAAGTGAACGGTTTTTAGAAGTTATGGCACTCAAGTAGTCAAAAAAAAGTTATGACTGGCACTTGAAGTGTCCTTAATTATTCCATTAGTCGGGTGAAAAACTTGGGGAAAAGGGCACCACAAATGCCATAACTTTTTTTTTCGATCACTTAAGTGTTAATAACTTTTTAATCGATCACTTCAGTGCCATAACTTTTTTAAAAACTTTCATCCGAAGTGTTATGCCATGTTGGATTTCTGGTACTTGAGTGAACTTTTTTAAAAAATTTTGCCACTTAAGCGATCGATTGAAAGTTATAATAGTTAAGTAAACGTTTTTTAGAAGTTATGTCATTTAAGTAATCAAAAATAAAGTTATGGCACTCAAATTAGTGCCATACAAAAGTTATAATACTTGTAATGTCTTATTCCAAAAACTTGGATTACTACTATATATTTGTGGACTTTTTTTCCAATTTTAACTTTTTCTTCCCACATTTAGTGGAGTACACATGTCGTACTAAGAGCGCGGTACACCGGGTGGATGCGATATTTTCTCTCACGCCCACTGTTGAGAAATTGACACATGCCATATTTGAACCAAGGACGAAGTTTAGACATTTCTATAATAAATTTCAGAGTTTGGGTTAAAATTAAAAAATCTGGAGCAAATTAGGCTTTCTTTAATATAATTAACTAAAAAATTAGTAAGTATGAAATCTAAAGTGCAATTTCAAGAACTAAAATTTAAAATGCTTAATAGTCTCGGTCATAATGTTACTTTTTCCACGAGCCTTAACGGAACGTACCTTGGCCGATATTTCTATCGGGAGCTGGCGGAGCAGCTGGAGGTGGCAGAGACGACGGTGGCCGACTGGGGTTCGACTCCAAAAACGGGTACAAATCCCATCGGAAAATACAGCTCGGCTTATAAACACGCCGCCATGTTTTCCGCGGCAACATTTATCATAATCATCAATGGCTTCAGACAAGCAACTCGCGCATTCGTTTGCTGACAAGTCGAGACTACACTGCGTAAACGAGTAGATGGTCTGGTTGTCTGGCAACTCGGTCTGCCCCGTCGCAAACTTGAGCTTCGAAGAGCTGTTCGCGGCATCGAGCGCTAGCCTCTGCGTCAAGTTCCTCCATATCGAATTGAACTGGTCTTGGTCCATGGTGATGTTGCCCACGTTGTAAAACCGAAGGTTAGGATCCGTTTGCACTATGCCATATTGGGTGTACAATTACGAGCTTTTTGTCGGTTTTTGTTGTGAGGAAAGGTTGATGTTAAAGTGTTTTTGAATTTCTGAAGATGAACATCAAACTTTGATTGTGACCTTACACATATTATATAGTATGCCTAAATAAGCATGAAGTCCATTTATGTAAAATGAAACAAAGAAGACAGTCTTTTCCTCGAACCCCGGCAGGATTTTTCAATCATACATTTGATTGGCGGGTTATAAATTATGAAAATTACTCATAGGAACTTAACCAAAATTGGATATATGTTATATTCATACTTGTAACTCACCAATCATAGATATGATTGAAAGCTAGGGGGAGTTTCTTCTAACATGGCAAAAAAAAAATCCACATCAAATTCGTTGCAAATGAATTTCTTCTTGATAGTAAGTGGCAATGATGTCGTTGAAAGCAAAGCGAGGTGATGTCACATACTCAAATAATTGTAATTTGGGTTAATACAACGAAAAATTTCAAACTGATATGCATGTGATAAATTTACCCCAAATTAATTTTTTGACCATGAAAATCCTAACAAATTGGTATACCTATAACAAACTTATCCCAAACTATTTTTTTGACCACCAAAAACCCTAAACTTGTACACATGTGACAATTTTAGCCTCTGTTAGCTTTTGTCAAATTTTTTTGACCGTATTAGTTTGGCATTTTTCGAGATATTAACTATATGGAATTTAACGTGGACTTGCCATGTCACCATACCATGTCAGCAAATTTAATAGTAAAATTTGACGGAAACTAATAGAGGATAAAATCCTTACAAAAAAAAACTAACATAGGATAAAATTGTCACAGTTATACCAGTTTGAGATTTTTTATGATAAAAAAATTAGTTTTGAATAAATTTATCAAAAGTGTTTAAATTTGTGATTTTTCGTGATATTAACTTTCGTATTTTTTACAATCATAGTCAACTCGTCAAAATGGGTCCCACAAATTGATGTATATCTGCCATTATGTCTGCCTAGCTTGCTTGTAGGCGTCAAGAAAAAAATTAAAGGAAAGATTGGTGTATGGAAAAGAAATCGATTGAGCCCACCGATATCGTTCAACCCCAAAATTAGGAAAAGGTAAAGAACTGGCGGGTAGGGGTGAGCATGGTCCGGGTTGGGCCGGTCCACCCCCTAACCCTAGGACCAACCCGTACAGTGTTGGTCCTCAATTTTTTAGACCGAGGACCAACCCTATTGAGCCTGGGACCGAGGACCGGACCAACCCAATGGGTTCGATCCGGTTCCAGGGTCAACCCGGGACCAACCGATAATTTTTTTGTTTCATTTTTTGTACTCTAGACTCACCCTTTGAGTCAAGACTCACTCGCTCGAGCGGCGAGTGCGGTGAGCGGTGAGCGGCAAGCAGGCCGAGCGTCGAGCAGCGAGCGGTGCAAGCGTCGAGCGGCCAGAGGCGAGCATCGAACGGGGCAAGTGGGAAGTTTTTTTCTCTGATTTTGGCAAAGTCAAGACTCACCCGCTCAAGCGACGAGCGGCGAGCGGGGCGCGGCGCGCGCGGTGAGTGGCGCGAGCGTCGAACGGGGCGAGTAGGAAGTTTTTTCTCCGATTTTGGCATAGTCAAGACTCACCTGCTCGAGCAACGAGCAGCGAGCGGCGAGCAGCCAGAGGCGAGCGCGGGCCGGGGCGAGTAAGAACTTTTTTTTTGCTTCGATTTTGGCAATGCGAAGAGTTTGAACTCTGAAGAGTGAAGACTAAAGAGATACTGTCACTATACAAGGAAGACTAAAGTAAAGAGACGATGTTGTCAGTAGACTTAGTACCAAAGGAGGATCGAGTACCAGTGGTTGACGCCGTGACTATTGACTAACACCGTTTTGGACGTGTGAGGGTGCGAATGGTAACCATTCTGCTCCAGAAATCAAATTCTTGCTAGAAATTGATTTCTGGAATTCTTGCCAGAAATTGATTTCCGGAGGAGAAATCTGTTTAGTAAAATATGACTAATTCTGCTCTAGAAATTGATTTCTAGAACAGAAATCTGTTTTGATTTGTTGATTTTTTTTTTTGTACCTAAAAAAATTTAAATTTTATTCAAAGTGGGTGGCTACAGGTATTATAAGCCATTCTGTAAAGTTTTGAAATTTTTTATTTTTAAAATTTTTTTTGGGCACCTAAAAAAATTTAAATTTCACTCAAAGTGGGTGGCCACAGGTATTCTAAGCCATTTTGTGAAGTTTTGAATTTTTTATTATTTTATTATTTTTTATTTTTTTGGGCCCTTCAAAAATTTTAAATTTCACTTAAAGTGGGTAGCCACAGGTATTCTAAGTTATTATGTGAAGTTTTGAAATTTTTTATTATTTTTATTATTTTTTGGGCACCTTAAAAAATTTAAATTTCACTCAAAGTGGGTGGCCATAGGTATTTTAAGCCATTTTGTGAAGTTTTGAAAATTTTTATTTTATTATTATTTTTCTTTTTTTTGGGCACCTCAAAAAATTTAAATTTCACTCAAAGTGGGTGGCCATGGGTATTTTAAACTATTATGTGAAGTTTTGAAATTTTTGATTTTTTTTATTTTTTTAAAAAAAATTCACCAAATTTCATATTTTCCCGAAATCTGACTTTTTTTATTTTCTGGAAATTTTTATGATTTTTTCTAGAATTTTTCAATTTTTATGTATTTTCTAAAAAAAAAAATTATGAGAAAATAGGGAGAATGCATTCCGGAATCAAGAAGCTACAAAAAGTAGCTTCTATTTTTCTTGCCAAAAGCTCATTCCGGAATAAAAAATGCATTCCGAAATCAAGAATGCATTTTGGAATCAAGTATTTTTAACAAACGCATTTTTATTCCAGAATGCAAAAATTGCTCCAGAATGCATTCTGGAAATTTTTTAACAAACGCCATTCTGTTCCGGAATGCATTCCATGCGCACCCTGAGTCTGTGAGAGCTGTTTCCCGCTTTTATTTTTTGCTACATAAAAAAAATTATAAATAATATATTAAATATATAATATATATAATATATTTTAGATATATTATATATAATATATATAGTCCGGGTTGGTCCGGGTTGGACCGACCCTAAACTACCTGGACCGAGGACCAACCCACACAGTGCTGGTCCAGGGATCCCAGGACCAAGGACCGACCCAATCCTCCTGGGAACCGGACCAGGACCGACAGGGTTGGGCCAGTCCAGGGTCGATCCAGGGTCGGTCCAGGACCGATGCTCACCCCTACTAGCAGGCCATTTCAGTCAATTCCCATAATACCCTCAACCTATTCCATGGTTCACATCTTTTTGTACCTTCTTCTTCACGGGCTCTTGGCGGACAATTTGTACGAGTAGTCCGTTCTAGATGCCAATGGAAATATTTGCAACGTCAATCGAGTTAAAAGGATGTGAACTAGTTTGTTCGGCTCAAAAAAGGACGACACAATGTTACTGTTGTGAGCACACAGTAAAAGCTTAAAACCTTTACTTGAAGAGATCTCTAAAAGGGAGTTTAAATCCGAACTCGTCAACACCTTCATACGTGCATTTCAATAGCCTCCTCTCATATGTGAGCTCAGTATTAGATTTGCTACCCTTTAATTCAAGTGTATCCTCTCTAAAAAGGAGAGTCCGAGCATGTTAACATATCAAGCGTGACTCATATTCACTTAAAAACTTAAGCCAATGAGTTATGGACCAACTAGGATATATTAACTGCTCTACATCACATCAATTCTCTGATGTGAGACTTTCTAATATAACTCACACGTGCATTTCAATAGTTACTGTGTTGGTTACTTTGGAAATAGCATTTGAATAAATAAATACACGTGTGCAAGTTTCAAATACGCTGCTCTTGGGAACATATAATTAATTCATTGTAGAGTAGTTTTTTTTTTGTCGTAAACTGATTAACTTCTATTTGATTTGAAAACGCAGAGCCCATAAACTGGGCTTCCTTACAAAGTAAATCCAACAATATTTGGGGAGGGGAAGAAATCCAGTCCGTCGACAGAGTTTTATGGCACTGAGCTTTTGCAGCCCAGTTTGCAATGGAGTTGGCTTCACGATGGCAATGGGTGATACGCAACTGTGAGAAGCTGGAGGACAGATCAAGGCATTGGGAGATAATTGCATGTGCATCCCATGGAATAAGGTCTGAGTTTTCCATAGCTTTAACCAAAGTCAGATTGTCTGACTCTAACTCAAGGGGATAATGTCTTCGAGGGAAGAACTTTAGGGTTTCCAAGAGAGCCACAAATTCTGCTTGAGAGGCTGAGGAGACATGGATTTGTTTTGCAAAGCCATCGACAAGTGTCTCCTTTGAGTTTCGAACGATGCAAGCGATTACGCCTTCCATGGAGCTTTTGACGAAGGATCCATCAATATTGACCTTTAAAGATCTGCCCTTTGGGGGTTTCCAGATCTCAGAAGAGGTGGGTGTGTCAAGGTCCGATTTTTGCTTTGAATTCCATCTCCTGTAATTGCTGAGAGAAGTTAGAGCTCCTTGTAGTGCTTGAATTGGGTCTGGGAGTTTCTTTCGAAAGATAAATGTGTTGCGATAAGTCCAAATAAACCAGAAGATGATTGCAACAAGTTCCAAAGAAGGTAGGTTTCCTGTACTTTTAAGGAATTGCATTAGCCATGTCTCTATTCTGCTTAACCCTTGGGAAGATACCTGAATGTTTAGGGATGGTTGAGCCCATATTCCTCTTGTCCAGGGACAAAGAAGAAGGAGATGCTCTGTGGATTCCACTTGGTCTTTACACAGTGAGCATAATGGATATGGTACTATTTTTCGCTTGTGTAAGTTCTCCATTGTGGGTAGACTATTCTGACATGCATTCCATAGAAAGAACCTAATTTTAGGGATGGTTTCTATTTTCCAGATCTTATTCCACAAAGCTCGAGGAGCCGAGAAAGATGAGGAGGCCTTTGGAGCTTTTCGGATATTCTCAGTAAGTCTTATGTAGTTGTAGCCACTTTTTACTGAGTAATTTCCTGTTGATGAATATGTAAACACCAGTTTGTCATGAATGGAGTGAGTGCATAGAGGAATAGCGAGAATTTCTTTCACTGTTTCCTCTTTGAACATATTTCGAAGAAGAGGTACATTCCAGGAATTTTCTTCATTGTTTATAAGCTCTACTACCTTTTGTGGGTCATTTTCATTCGATGGCCCTCCAATTACTCCTCTTTTCAACCATCTGTCCTCTCTAATACTAATTGCTTCTCCTATTCCCACTGTTGACATTGAAGATTCTAAGATTGAGTCTCTTCCCAATAGTAAGCTTCGCCAGCCCCAAGAGGGTCTATGCCCTTTCCCAGCATGCCAGAAACTCTTGTTTGGGAAGTAAATCCGTTTAAAATTTGACCCCATAAAGAGGACGATTGATGCATTAATCTCCATGCTTGCTTTCCTAAGAAAGCCTTGTTAACAGAAAGTAAATCTTTGAATCTCATGCCTCCATTGTCTTTCCTTTGTTTCAAGAATTCCCAACTCTTCCAATGATTTCCAGAGTGAGATTCTCTGTTTTTCCACCAAAATGCTGTCATTCTCTTTTCAATCGCTTTACATATCGAAACAGGAATCTTGAAAATTGACATTGCATATTGAAAAAAAGCCTGCACTACTGTTTTTAGAAATATCTCCTTCCCCGCTTTAGAAATTAAAGATTCCTTCCAACCTTCCAGTTTTTTGTTAACTCGACCAAGTATCCAGGCAAACATATTCTTGTTAGACTCTCCCCAATCCGACCGAATTCCAAGGTATTTTCCTGTTTTATCCAGTTCAAGGATACGCAGTTCATAAGCCATATTTGCTCTTAAGGTCTGTGGGCACCCTGAGCTAAAAAATATTCCTAATTTGTTTAGGTTTATCTCCTGTCCAGTAGCAAAACAATACTGATGCAGAACATCTGATACATATTGGCATTCTTGAATTCTCCCATTCAAAAAGAAGATGGAGTCATCCGCAAAAAGAAGATGTGATATGGTAGGGCAATAGGAGTTAAGTTTAATACCATTTATACTGCCATCCTCTACTGCTTTCTTCATCATAAGAGATAAAACATTTGCTACCAATATAAAGAGATAAGGGGATAATGGATCACCTTGCCTAAGTCCTCTGGAAGGCTGGAAGTAAGGGAGTGGATTCCAATTAAATTTAACACTGAATGAGACTGAAGATACACATTGCATAACCCAATGAATCCAATTTTCATCAAAGCCAAGTTTTCTTAAGCATGCCTCCAAGAAATCCCATTCTGCTCTGTCATACGCCTTTTTCATATCAAGTTTCAAGACCGCTTGAAATTTTTTCCTCCTCTTCTTGACTCTTAGTTGATGCAACACTTCCTGCACTATCATAATATTGTCCTGGATAAGTCTCCCACTTACGAATGCACTTTGCTCTTGAGCTATTAAATTCGATAACCAAGGTTTGAGTCAATTCACCATTACCTTGGATATGATTTTGTAGGCAAAATTGCACAAACTAATGGAACGGAATTGATTGAGAGTTTCGGGGTTAGGAACTTTTGGAACTAGTGTAATGTGAGTTCTATTTAAATCAGGATTCAATTTTCCTGATATGAAAAAAATTTTAACTGCTGCAAATACTTCAAACTGAAGAGTCTCCCAGTGGAACTGAAAAAATTTCCCATTAAAAGCATCTGGTCCAGGGGCACTTAGAGGACTTAGTTGGAAAACAGCATGCTTGACTTCTTCCAAAGTGACCTCAGCGGTTAGTGATGCATTCATAACTTCATGTACCATTGTAGAAATGACGTCTAAAACCGGAACAAAATTTCTCTTATCCACTGAACGATATAGGCTTTTAAAATAATTTGTCATTTATTGGTGTAAGAGCCTTTCATTATGAATCCAAGACCCCTCTTCTGTTTTGAGTATAGAAATTATATTCCGTAGTCTCCACTATATAGTGGTTGCATGGAAGAATTTCGTATTTTTGTCTTCCCATTTCATCCACTTGATTCTTGAGCGCATTCCCCAATGCATTTCCTCTTGCCTCCATAGAGATTCTATCTCCTGTTTCAATGTTCCTTCTGTGTTTCTATTTGAATGAGTTCTAGTAGAGTTGGTTATATCTGTCAGTTCCTTTTTTAAAGCATCAATTCTCCGAGAACAATTCGCAAATCTTTTTCTGCTCCATCTTTTCAGTTTAACATATACTACATGAAGTTTTCTTGGAAAGTCTGCTACTTGTTCAAGGATTGAGGACCAAGCTTCATTAACTACATGGATAAAATCATCAGCTTCGAACTAGTAATCTTCTACCCTGAATATTCTGTTCTTTTTAACTAAATATGATGTTATGGTTAATAGAAGTGGGCTGTGGTCCGAACCAATTACTGGAAAAGCATAGGCTACTGCCTCTGGGTAGAGGACTCTCCATTCTACAATGCTTAGAACCCTGTCTAACTTTTTCTTTACAAAATTGTCCCCTTCCTGTTTATTTGACCAAGTAAAAGTACATCCCTTGCATTCAATGTCCATTAGCGCACAGGAATTCAAAAACTCTCTAAAAGCAAACATACGATAATATTAAGCTTTTCTCTTCCCTTCCTTCTCCCAGTGATTAAGAATTTCATTAAAATCTCCCATAGAGACCCAAGGCAAGGTATTAAGGGAGCTTTTCTGGATAAGCTTGGTCCAAAGTAAGTTCCTCTCTCGATAATCAGTAGGGGCATGCACTAGTGTAACCCTCATCTGCTGTTTGTCTTCCTAAATTCACATATTAAGTCCAGAAACTCAGCTATAGCCATTCCTATATTAACCTTTACTTGATCTTCCCATAAAATAGCTAACCCTCCTCCAATTCCTTCTGGGTTAACAACAAAGTGATTCTAGAAATTGAGACGCTTCTTTACTCGTTTTACTACTACTTCCTAATTCTTAGTTTCCATTAGGAAAACTAAGTTGAGCTTCTCTTTAACCACCATGGCTCTAATATTTTGGACTGTCAAGGGAGTGCCCAGACCTTGACAGTTCCAACTTAGGATCTTCATTTGTTATCCAGTGGCTTATTAGGGCTAGCCACCAAAGCCCATTTTGTTGCTTCCTCAGTCGCAAGGATTGGAATCTCTAGAAGTTGGGACTCATCCAACAATAAAGAGCTGAATTTTCTCTGCCTTTTTGCTATAGGGGTTTTTGGCCCCTTGCCAATCTTTATGCCACTACTATTAGGACCAAGGGACAGCTTTACCTTGGGAGAAATCTGCTTTTGAGTAGGGCCAGTGATCATCTTAATCTCCTTTCTAGTTTCTTTTTTCCTTTTCCCCTGAGTAGTTTCTTGGTCTACTTCAAATAGCATATTCTCAGGTCTAGCTTCCTCTTCAGCAGCTTCCATTCGAGATGATTAAGCACGTTCCTGAGGAGTAATTTGGCCTTGATGCATTGGAGTTTCAGGAATTATTTCTCCAATAAGATATTCTAGTGTCTCCTTCCTATAGAAAACTTTCCAAAAGGGACTGTTCTCCTGGGATTCAGCTCTCAGCCAGCTACCAAAGCTACTTCCTAGGTCAGTTGTGAATCTTTTTTCTTCATATGGGATTTCTTCGCAGTAATTTGCATATTGACCTATTTTCCCACACGAATAGCAAAAGTGGGGAAGCCTTTTATATTTAAAGTCCAACCAAATTTTCTTGCCCTCAAAGGTAGCAATAGTACCTACAATTAGAGCTTGATGTAAGTTTAACTCCACTTTAACCTTGGCTATTCTTTGAGCTATAGGCCATGAGCATCTATTCTCACTTCTTTCACCTGGCCTGCTGAGCTAACTAGAGATTCTACTACTTCCAAGGAAAACCATCCGATTGGCAAACCAAGTATTCGAATCCAGAAGGTACATTTCTCAAACTTATAACAGTGGGGAGGAGTATTTGGTTCACAATCATGAAGTAGCAGTAAGTGATTTGAAAAAGACCCAGGGCCTCCCTCTAGCACCCTAGATTTTTCCAATTCGTTCCTGAAGGTGAAACTGAATATATTATGCCCCCGAGGTGTGATTTCCACATTTTCATTTTTCCATGCTCATTTCATTGCCGTTTGAAAGGCCTGGAAATTGATACTAGGATTTTGGCATAGCTGACCCATTAAGATAGACTGGCATTCCTCTATTTTCTCGGTTGATACAATTCCTGAGATGTCTTTATCTGAGAGTAACGTACCTAGTTTTTGCAGAGAAGAGCCAATCGAGCTGAGGCCTCATCATCATCTTCCATTTCTGAAAGATTGGTACCTTGATAATTGATTTGAAGGCAAGTATAGAAATGGGGAAGAGGGTAGCGGCTAGGGTTTTTTGGGAAGTGACATCAAAACCCTAAATGAAAAAAGGGAGGAGAGAAGAAATGAAGCACCAAAAGCTGCATGCGAATTCATGGTGATGATTGAGCAAACCAGTAGGGATTTTGTTAGGGTTTGTAAGTTGAGGGAGCCATTGCTACACAGACGGTAGAGGAGAGCTACACAATCGGTAGAGGAGAGCTACACAGTCGGTAGATGTAGAGTAGTTCACAGTCACTATGATCCTTTTCTAAGTGCATAGTAATTCGTAGATCAAGGTGGTGAATCGGAACAATTGTGTAATTCAGGTGAGTGACCCAGTGTACTTAGTCCCATGGGCATGAATTTCTTTTACGAGCGTTAAATTTACCTATGTATGTACAATGACCAATCTATTTAACATCTATACTGTAAAGTGTAGTGCAAGAATTTATTCAGGCTATCCCTGAATGAGAACTAACGCACATGCAATCTCGAATGACCATGTTTTTAATTATTCATTAATTAACGAAAGCAATAGCAATTCATCCTTCGAATATGTAGTAATTTGCAGGGCATGCGGTGGCAACTCTTGTCCAAGATGGACTTTCTGTGGACTTTCGGTACCTGTGCCCCTAATTTATTTACACCCCAGCTTTGTAAGCTTTAATGTGCCGAGACATGACTGATGCGCATCTGCTCCCAGTGTTCACAACACAAGTTACTCTGTCTCTGTCTCTCTGTCTCTCTCTCTCTCTCGTTATCGAGGAATTAGGAAAAAGAGATGGAATCTGCAAACTAACTCAAAACTCTAACCAACGATCGACTTAAAAAGAACTACAGATTCACGGACAATCGCAAGGAAGAGATCGATGGGCGTACGTACATCGTAGTTCGGCTGGTCCTGAGGCGGCTCGAGCACGTAGAACAAACCAGAGCAACCTCTCAGCGCGTCGACGATGCTATGGCCGTCACAAAGGATTGGAGCGGAAGATCTTCAGCTTCCCCGCATCGTGCGACAGCTCCTTCAGCCGATCGACACCGACAGTCTGCACGACTCCGGTCATGCGGGAGGCTTCCTCCCATGTCCCAATTGACGAGTCTTCTACGCAATATAAAGTAGCCGTCGGGGCACATTGGTCGTCCCATGGGAGACCCGTTTGTGAATTAAGTGCACTTGGACGAAAAACGCGTCCGCTTTCGTTCCAATTTTATTTATTTCTTTCTTTCTATTAAGTTTGAGTCGTTTACGTAACCCGATCCAATTAAAGGATTCGTATTTATTCTGACGAAAAGGGTTTGCTTTGAAGAGGAATAAAAAGGGCGTGGGTCTTCTTCAGTGAAGGTGAGCCGCACAAGCAAAAAAACGCCCGCACCGGGAAGACTACTTGAAGCCGCACGGTCGACTCTCGTGAAAGGACGCTCGCGAGGAAAGAAGAGACGCGCCGCGACGCCCTCGTCGATTTACACGGAGGAGTCTCGAACGCAGTGATTATCTCGTGTAATGAGTTTACGTCCAATTGAGTTTGTTTATTTGTAACCACTTGAAATTTGAGTATAATCTAAATGTGGGATATATTCGAGCGTATGAGCGAATTGTAACTCTGATTCTCTGATTATAGTAGATTATTAATACTAGCCCTTTCCGTAAATGTAGGTATCGATACTCGGACCGAACTATATAAATCGCTTGTGTGTTTATTGTTCTTCGTTATATCTCTAGTGATTTTTGCATTAACTTAATTTGTAAGATCCCGTCGTTTTCGCGTTTAACATTTCAACAACTTGTATCAGAACTATGGATCGGATTTTTTTGGATTGTGATTTGAGACTTTTGCTTGTCTAATTAAGTCAGTGTGAAATCACCGAAAAAACAAATGAGGAACAATAAAGGACACCAAAAACTTACGTGGCTCGGTCCGAATATCGGTATCTATATCCACGAGGAGAGACAGCAACAAGCAATACACTATAATCGAAGAATCATACTTTTAATCGTTTACATGTTTGATTATTTTTCACACTTAGATTACACCTAAATCCAAAGCGTATATAAATAAACAATTCAATTAGATACAAAACTCACGGCACAAGATCCTACGTGTTTAGACATCCTCCGTGCGCGACCAAAGAGAGAATCACTGCATAGTTCACTTTCTTTCTTGTCCCTCGGCGTTTTCTTTTTTTCTTTTTGGTCGAACACACGTTTTCTTTTGTACGGCCAAAAATGAGTTCAATCCCTTTTTGTCCGATAGCGGCCAATATCCCTTAGTTGTTGAAGACGTCCACTGTACAATATATAATAATGATAACTATTCTGTTCTATAAATTAATTTCCGATCAAAAATAAATATTTCTATTTCTATACCATAGGCGAATTTCTAAGCCAAAATACGCATTTGATAACAACGCAAAATTTTTATTCCTAAAATAAAAATTCGTTTGATAACGGCACAAAATTTCTCACTCCCGAACGGTCAGCGGGCGCGCGGCGCAAGCAGCGGCGGGAGGTGGCTGGCGTCAGGTTGCGGCGGACGGTGGGAGGTGGCCGATGACGGAGGACGGCCGCGGCGGCGGGAGATGGTTGGCGTCGAGCGATGGTAGAGGACGGCAGGAGAAGGGCGGCGTGCGGTGGCGAGCAGTGGCAGACGCCGGTGGACGGCTGTGGCCAATGGTGGGAGGTGGCCGATGTCAGGTAGCAATAGGAGGTAGACGACAGTGGCTGGAGGCGGGCGGTGGGAGGTGGGCGGTAGTGGTTGGAGGTGGGCGGCGGGAAGTGATCGGTGGCGGTGGGAGGTGGGCAGCAGGAGGTGGCCAACAGCGGCGAGAGGTGACCAACGGCGACGGCGAGTGGGCTGAAATATATAAGAATATATAAATGTGGTAACTTACAAACTACTAGCTAGCTGAAATAAATGTATGAAGCTCATGTATACAATTGACTTTCAAAGACATAATGTAGTGATCTTTATCGAATCGCTCGTCAATTAATTAATTCCACAAAAGTGCCAACTTTATATTCAATTCGTTAACCTAGAAGCAAAGGTGCATTTAGAATATTAACTAGTAGACTATAATACCCTCAATGCTATGCATTTGTGGAGCTAAATGCTTTAATTGGTAATTCACCTGCTGTATATGTAATAAATTCAATCATTAGACATCAAGACTAACAACTTTCGTATGTAACTTAGCATTTCCTGTGCACCAATAGTTCATGACTTTTTTTATACTTTTCCCCTAATAGCATATGTGCCAGATTTGTGAGAAGCATGCCCGACGAGACTATGGTGCAACACATATGCAATAAAAACCAATACAGTGTACGCGGACTTTTCCGTGATTTACGTATCGATACGGGATTCTGGATAATTACTGCAGCCATGACAACGTCTTTAGTTATGACTGTTATGGCCAAGCGGCTTGCAACGAAGACCATCCAGATTACGATGTACTGGCTGCTTGGAACATGCTCGTGACAAGCTGCTTTCGGAATGTTATGGAATTGTGGCCCAACATCAACTTAAAGATTGCGGAATAAGATATGAGGCGTACTCATTCCGCGAAAATTAATAAGTTTGGTTTTGGTGATGACTCTTACACTATGGATCTATACCATAAGTTTATTTCCTTTCACAAGCAAGCATTGTGAAAGAAAATAGTTTGGCTATAATGTTTGGTTTTAGACGTAATAGGAATTATAGTTTGGCTATAATGTTTATTTCCAAAATGCCCTTTCATCCTACCGCATTGTCATGGATGAATAAAATTGTTAAAATATTTAAATATTAAATTATGCATTCAGCTATCATATTACACTTTTAGAGCAGTTGCTAATGGTTTCACGAAATTTCACATAGCATCGGAACAGGAGGTCCTAAATTCAAATCTTCCAAGCCCCTAACTACTTCCCCAATTTCAAATTTCCACGTCTTAGGCTTAGGCAAAACTTTAGCCTAAATATTAAATCATGTTTTCGATTATCAGCTTAAGCTCAAAATCTCAGATCTCACAAATATTAATTGAAAGTTAAAATTAAAAGTCAATCCAACTAGAAATTGCTTGCTCCTTTAGTACAAAGCCAAAAGGAAACCACCATATTTCTACCTGTTTATTAGGGACTACAAGCGCACTCATCAGACAGTTCATGTAAAACTAAATTGTTCTTCCGGACACAACATGCACATAATATCCTTGAGAAGGAAATGAAGTCATGTTCATGTGCTTCATCGAGGGTCGACTTCGGTGATCGAAACTTTGTTGACCGATGAAGGCGCAAAGCCGCTCTTAAATTGATCTTGTCCCTTGTCATTCCCTACGATGTTATTTGGCGGTCCCGTCCAGCTTCGGAGGAAAAAGGCGGGTTCTCGTGGCAATGGCAGAGTAAGAGTTTGGCTGCTCAACGCAAGAACTATGTTCGCCATGGTCGGTCTATTAACCGGATCTTCCTGAACACATAGTAAGCCAATATGTATGCATCTGAGCACTTGGCTTCTAGAATAAGATTCTTCCAATGCCGGGTCCAATATTTCCAAAGGCGCATCGTCCCTCCAATGTTTCCAAGCCTAGAGCAGCTCAATTGCACACGACAAGTGAACCAAGGAACAATATTGTTAATTAAGAGCGCAAAGAACAAATAAATCATATAAAAAACTTACATAGCTCGCGAGATCTTCACCTCCATCAGATTGGTAGTAGTAATTATTCCTCTTGCCGCAAATGATCTCATGAAGGAGAACGCCGAAGCTATAAACATCAGACTTCTAAGAGAATTGCCCATGCATCGCATATTCCGGAGACATGTAACCGCTGAAATCCACCACCAGAACCATACATGTTGGGATGCGTTTCATCGATGCTAATCCCGTTATCAACCAGAAGCTACGTAAAGGTAAACTTTGAAGAATGCAAAACTTACTAGGTTCCTACGATTCTTCTAGTGCTTGCCTTAGTTTGATCGACTCCAAAAATCCTCGCCATGCCAAAGTCCGAAATCTTTGGGTTCAGATCATTGTCCAACAAGACGTTGCTGGCTTTTAAATCACGGTGAATGACTCGAAGCCGAGAATCTTCATGAAGATAGAGCATCCCTCGAGTGACGCCCGATATTATCCTGTAACGTCTTGGCCAGTCCAATTGTTTGCTTTTCTCGGTGTCTGTGCAGTGATTTAAGGATTTGAACGACAGTTAGTACCATCTAGGAAGCCTAGGAGTTACATTCAAAATATCATATCTGATCTAGTATACGAGATATGATTATTCGCTCATTCGTCGATATCTTACATTAACCTAACTGATTAACTTCAAGCCAGCGAAGTGGAACAAACCGAACACGAAGTAGTCAAGACTTTTGTTGGTCACAAACTCATATACAAGTAGCTTTTCCCCTCCTTCCAAGCAAAATCCAAGCAATCTCACTAGATTCCGGTGTTGAAGCTTCGCCACCAACACAATCTCGTTCTTAAATTCTTCAACGCCTTGCCCTGAGCTTTGGGATAGCCTCTTCACAGCTATTTCTTGCCCGTTGGGAAGCCTACCCTGAAAAAATTTGTGTAAGGTGACAAGGCCTCACGAACTCTTCGCCTTTTTTTGTTGTTGTAATTTTAGGATA